TTTTATTTTGATGAAATCTGATTTACCAATTTGTTCTTTTATGGGTGATATCCATGTTGTATCTTTTGCCCAACAGAAGTTGCATGATTTCCTCTATGTTTTCTTTTAGAAGTTTTATGCTTTCATGTATTACAGTGGGTCTGTGTATTATTTTGAATCAATTTTAGATCAGTTGGGGAGAATTGACCTCTTAACAATATTGAGTCTTATGATCACTGAACAAGTTATATCTCTCCATTTGTTTATGTCTTTTAAAATTTCTCTCAAGTGTTTTGTTTCAGGTCTTTTGCATCTTTTGTTAAATTCAGCACTAAGTATTTCATATGTTTTTATGTAAAATTATATCGAATATTTAAAAAATTTTTCAACTTCCCTTTGTTCATGGCTAATGTATAGGAACATATATCTTGATTTTTTTAAAATGTTTATTTTATATCTTCCAACCTTGCTAAACTTGCTTATGAGTGCTAGGAACATTCTACTTTGTTTTTTATTCTGTAGATTCCATTGGATTTCTGTATTCTTCCTTTTCATTCTGGTTGATTTTTATTTCTTGTCTTATTGTCCTCACTAAAAATCTTCAGTACAATATTGAATATAAGTGATAAGAGCTGAAATCCTTTTTTGTTTGTTTCTGATATTAAGGAAAAATATTTAATATTTAATTTAGGTATGATGTTAACTGTGACATTAGGTACATTCACATTGTTTTGCAACCATCCCCACTGTAAGTTTCCCAGACTTTTTCATTACCTCAAACAGAAACTCTACCAGTTAAACAGTCACTCCTACTACACTCCTCCTCAGCTTCTGGTAACCTTTATTCCATTTTCAATCTCTATGACTTTGCCTAGTTTAGGCACTTCATACAAACAGAATCATACAATATTTATCCTTTTGTGACTGTCTTCTTTCACTTAGCATAATGTCTTCAAGATTCTTCCATGCTGTTCATGTGTCAGAATTTCATTCCGTTTTATGGCTGAATAATGTTCCAGCCTATCATGTAGTACATTTTGTTTATTGATTTAGTTTTGGTTCCTGGACCCAATTCCAGTTTGTATGGAAGGAGTGTTTTCTATGTCATCAGTTTTTGAGATGCCAGCTGGCTCAATTTTGATATCTAACTAGAGATAGTGTCAGATCTTACAGGTTAAGGGTTCAGTCCTATGAAACTGCCCACTTCCTCCTGTCTCCACTTCAAATGCCCTCTCCCCACCACCATCTCTACTTCAGATGCCAGTTCAAATGCCAGGTTGTCACCTGTGCTCCTGACTGGCTATACATGCGGGTTCTCACAATCTCCTTCTTGGACTTGAGATGTCAGTCACAGATTCAGGTTGTTACCTGTACTTACAACTGATTGGCTGTAAATCAGTTTTCCTCTAGTCTCTCCTCAGGTTCAATTAATTTGCTAGAACAGCTCACTAGAGCAGCTAGAGTTCTCACTAGAGAACTCATAGAAACATTTCACTTACTACATCACTGATATATTATAAAAGGAACAGACTGATGAAAGAAATGCATAGGGCAAGATGTATAGGAAGGATTGTAGAGTTTCCATACACCCCTCATCCCAAAATCAACCTGGAAGCTCTTTGAATCCCCTTGTTTTTGGTTTTTATGGAGGCTTCATTGTATAGGCAGGATTGATTAAATCATTGGCTATTGGTGATTGATTCAACCTCCAGCCCTTCTCCCCTTCTCCACAGAGGTCAGAGATGGGACTGAAAGTTCCAATCCCCTACTCACAAGGTTGGGTCCCTTGGCAACCAGTCTCCATCCTTAGGTGGAATCTAAAAGCCACTTCATAAACATTTCTGCAAAAAAAGCTGTTGGGATTTTTATACAGGTTGTGTTGATGAGTCTGTAGATTGCTGTGCATAGTGTTGTCATCTTAACAATGGTAAGTCTTTCAACTCGTGAACACAGCATCTCTTTCCTTCGTACTTGGGTCCTCTTTAATTTCTTTCAGCAGTGCTTGTAGGTGTCAGTGTATAAGTCTTAAACCTCCTTAGTTAAATTTATTCTTAAGTAATTTATTCTTTTTGATGTTACAAGTGGAATGGAATGATTTTTTTAAAATACTCTTTTGGGATTTTTCATTGTTAGTATATAAAAATGCAAATTATTTTGTGTTGATTTTATACTCTACAATTTTGCTGAATTCATTTATTCTTGCAGGTTTTTTTGTGTATGTGTGGAATAGAGTCATTAGGATTTTCCATATATTAAGAGTGTGTTGTATGAATAGATATAATTTTACTTCTTCCTTTCCACTTTGCATGCCTTTTCTTTCCTAATTGTTCTGGCTAGAACTTCCAGTACTCTCTCGTGAGAGTAGACGTCCTTGGCCAGTTTTTGATCTCACAGGAAATGCCTCCATGTTGGTGAACACTTGGAGGTGCTGGGAGGAGTGCGGGCTTGGAGGAGGGCATGAAGCCATGTGCCCCTTCCCACATTCCTTGCCCTTCGCATGTCTTCCATCTTAACTGTTCCTGAGTTGTATCCTTTTATTATACCTCTCTAATTTATAGCCAGTTGGTCAGAAGCACAGTTAACAACCTGGATTGCAGTTGGCTTCTGTAATGGCGGGTGCAGCAGTCTTGTGGGACTGAACATTTACTCTGTGAGGTCTGACTCTAATTCCAGGTTTATAGTATCAGAGCTGCACTGAATTGTAGGACAGCCGCCTGGTGTCCCTGGAGAGATGGAGAATTGCTTCTTGTGGGGAAAACCCCTACATACCTGGTCACAGGAATTGTTCAGTTTTGTAGTACAGGAGAGACATGGCAGTGTTTCTAGACATTCTGCTTCTATTATGAGCTCCTTGTCATCCACATGAGGAGGTTGAAAAGATATTTTAATCAAATCTAGTAGTAAGAATTTGGCAAAATCGATCAAAGAGATTCCCACATTCTGCTGCCAATGAAGTCAAATTAAAAGCCACTTGAAAACAGAACCAGTCTTGGTGAAGAAACAGTTTGAGCATATGAGGGCTAAAGAGTTCATGGCAGCTCATCAGAATCACTAGAAGAGACAAGGGAAGATGAATGGGGACTCAAGGTGTCTCAGTCCAGATGAGATGCCCTGTCAGGCTAACCCTGTGTGTTGACTTTGATGGTAGGGTGTTCTCTGTAACTTTGAGACCTGATATGTTAGAAGAATAACTTGGAAACAATTATCAACCTGCAAACTACACATGACGTAGACAGTCATTAGGCTGTCCAGAAGCACACAGTAACAGGAAATTATAAAAGAGAAAGGAGACTGGGGGAAGGAAGGGAAACAAACATTCTGGGAACAGTGAGTTTCTTTTCTTGGGTAAACTAATTAGCCAGTAACTAGGAAAAAGGCCAGCTTGCCCCGATCATGCTGTCTGGGGTTATTAAGGAAAAAAAGAGTTTTCCACTCTCTGAAAAACCTTAAAAATTTAACTATAAAATATGTATGACAGGCTATCTCTATGTAGATCTACCCTACCAATGACCTTGATTTAGTACGTGCACCAGGTGTGTTACCCTCATCTGGAGTTTCTTAGGTTTTCTTTTGTTTTTTAAACCAATATGAATAAAATGTAAGGAATTTCATGTATGTATATGGATATATATATATATATATATATATATATATATATATATATATATATATCCAGATGCAGTGTATACAAGGTTACTTAACATGGGATTTTGGGAGGAGATGGATTGCAAAGAAACTTTATACTTAGGCTTTCCTTGTACTGTGTAATTGGCAAAATCCTTTAACTTACGGGTACATCATTTTAGGTGTGGATTTAACAACTTCTTTATCACCTTAGCCCAAAACACAAAACTTTTAAAAAAAATTTTTGGCACAGAGGAAGACCTGGCATAATGCACATTTTTGAAATGCATTTTTATACCTAATTTGTATATGTAATGGATTACCAGCAATCATCTCAAAAATTACTAATATATTTCCTTATTGGTGACAGGTGTTCTATTAAACAGTATATGAGGGTGCTGTTCATCTTAGTTGTGGCATTTCTGAATTAATTATGACAAGCTAATAAGATCTTTTGAAAGTTACTTTCCAAACTTCTTGAGCTAATGTTTTCCCTCTGGCCAGGGGGGTAGACTGCATATTATTTCTGATACTCTTTAAAGACCTGTGGGCAGTTACTTTCATTCATGCCAGATGGCATGTGTCAACTCCTTTTCCTGAAAAGGGAGATCTTTTAGAGGATTGCTGTAGTAAAACCTTATGTGACTTTTTACGAAGCTCTTTTTCTCTTTATGTAAATTACTACCAATAGAAGAATTTTACAGAACTGTGAGCCCCCCTTCCCCCCACCCCCATGTTTCACGAGGGTTGGGTACAAATTTTTTTTGTGTGTAAATTCTCTTTTTGAAATTGTGCAGTAGCAAGTGATCAGTGATAAGGTTATATAAAACTAATACTGTTTTTAGGATAAAAATAAACAAAACAAAGAATTTACAAGATAAGGAGTGAGTGGCTTCTTTATATTTTTACTAGTCCTCCAGCTTTCCTGCAGTCAGAATCCAAGTTAGGGAGTTGGTTAGCTGTGAATGACACTCTTAATAATAGTGTGTAGATGCTTAGGGAGCCTCTGAAAATTGCCTGGATTCACAGCCAGCCATGGATAGTCTTTCGTACTTGAACACTATGAATTCTAACTCTTGGCTTCTAATGTGCATATTCAGTCTCCACCTTACATTGAATTTTATTTTTTCAGTAAAATTTTTATTTTTTCAAGAAGCACAGGTAGGTGAATGTTTGAATTCTATAAACATCTGGTTTTCATTTATCCTGACTAAATCCTAAGGTGCTGAACTTATTTGACACTTTTTCTTTTATCTTTGCATCCATAACTCTTATGAACTTGGGGTATGAATTAGGGCATTTGATAAAGCAACTTTTCTGTTTTCTGGTGTTCTGGGTAATTGATTTAAAAAAATATATTTTACTGGGATTCTTACCAAAATTTTCATTTTTTCAAGGTGTTGACTTTAAGGTGAAAACAATTTCAGTGGATGGAAATAAGGCTAAACTTGCAATATGGGTAAGACTTTTAAAATGTATTTGTATAAATATTAAATTGTACTTTTTAAAGAAGTAGATCTTGGTGTTTGTAGTTGTTTAGAGGTGAAAGAACAATTTGTATTAAATAACTTTTGGGAAATTTGATGTTGATTAAAGGATAAGCAATAAATAGTTCTGTCTTATGGTTGGGTAAGAGACCTGTTTTATTTAATTTTTTCAGATATAACAGTCCATTCAGAATATTGAAAAACAGAACAAAATACTTAAAAAATCATCTTGCCTGCCAGAGAGAATTATTGTTATTGGATATATTTCTTTAAACTTTTAAAAAGATAACTTAGACTAAACTAACATAACACTAAAGGCAGTTGTTGGGGAAAAGGGAAATGGAGTCATACTTAGAAAAAATATTTTTGTTTGAAGTGTAAATATTTATAAAGTTTGAGTTTTCCAATGTTTGACCTATTTTTTATTTTTTATTTTTTATTGTTGTTCAAATACAGTTGTCTCTATTTCCCTCCACCCCTTTTCCCCTCCATGCCCAGTCTTTACATACTGCTTTTTATTTCACTTGCCTGTCAACCAAATGGTTCTGAGCTACATTGCTCTGCTGATAAGACATCTTCATGGTAATGCTGAATAGTAGCATAATTTTAAAAACATTTTTATTGAATTTATTGGAATGACATTGGATAATAAAATTATATAGGCTTCAAGTGTACCATTCTATAATACATCATCTGTATATCGTATTGTGTTTACCACCCAACATCAAGTCTCCTTCCATCACCATTTATCTCTCCTTTACTCTCTTCTACCTTGCCTCCCCCTCCCTTTCCCTCTTGTAATCACCACACCATTGTCTGTGTCTGTGAGTTTTTTTTCTTAAACCCTTCAACTTTTTAACCCAGTGCCCCCAACTTTCCTCCCCTCTGACAGCTGTCAGTGTGTACTCTACCTGTGAGTCTGTTTCTCTTTTGTTTGTTATTTTATTTTGTTCATTAGATTCCACATTTAACTGAAATCATATGGTACTTGTCTTTCTCTGATTGGTTTATTTCACTTAGCAGAATATTCTCTAGGTCTGCCCATGTTGCAATTGGAAAGATTTCCTTCTTTTTTATGGTCAGGTAATATTCTGTCATGTAAATGTACACAGCTTTTTTTATCCATTCACCTACAGGTGGGCACTTGAGCTGCTTCCAAATCTTGGATATTGTAAATAATGCTGCAATGAACATAGGGGTGCATATATTTTTTCAGATTAGTGTTTTGGGTTTCTTTGATTATTTTCCCAGAAGTAGAATTCCTGGGTCATAAGGCAGTTCCATTTTTAATTTTTTGAGGAAACTCCATATTGCTTTCCATATTGGCTGCACCAGTCTGCCACTAACAGTGCACAAGAGTTCCCTTTTCTCTACAACCTTGCCAACATTTGTTTTATTGATGATAGGCATTCTGACAGGTGTGAGGTGATAATCTCATTGTGATTTTAATTTGCATTTCTCTGATGATTAGTAAATGTTGAGCATCTTTTCCTGTGTCCATCGGTCATCCATATGTCCTCTTTGGAAAAGTGTCTATTAAGGGTCTTTTGCCCATTTTTAAATAAAATTGTTTGTTTTTTGGTGTTGAGTTGTATCAGTTCTATATAGATTTTGGATATTAATCCCTTATCAGATGTATTATTGATGAATATGTTCTCACATTCAGTGGGTTGTCTTTTCATTTTGTTGAAGGTTTCTTTTGTTGTGCAAAAACATTTTAGTTTAATGTAGTCCCATTTGTTACTTTTTCTTTTTTTTACCTTGCTTTAGGAGATATATTAGAAAAAATATTACTAAGAACAATGTCCAAGATTTTATTGCCTATGTTTTCTTCTAGGATTTTTGTGGTTTTGAGTCTTAACAATATAAGTCATTAATCCTTTTTGAGTTTATTCTTGTGTATGGTATAAGAAGTTGGTCTAGTTTCACTTTTTTGCACTTATCTGTCCAGCTTTCCCATCACCATCTACAGAAGAGACTGTCTTTACCCCATTGTATGTTCTTGCCTCCTTCTTCAAATATTAATAGACCATAATGGTGTGGGTTTATTTTTGGTTGCTCTGTTCTTTTTTATTTTTCCTTTTATTGACACTAGAGAGAGGGGAAGGGACAAAGAGAGGCAGAGAAACATCAGTGTGAAAGAGAATCCCTGCCTCTTGCACATGCCCTGACTGGGGACCAAACCCAAAACCCAGGTATGTTCCCTGACCAAGAATCAAATCACAAGCTTTCAGTTTGCAGAATGATGCTCAACCAGTGGAGTCATACCAGCCAGGGCTTGGCTTTCTTTCTTGTTTAGTTGATCTATATGTCTGTTTGTATGCCAGTACCATGCTATTTTGATTACTGCGGCCTTCTAGTATAGTCTGATATCGGGTAGTGTGATTCCTCCAACTTTGTTGTTCCTTCTCAAGATTGCTGTGGTTAGTCAGGGTTTTTTTTGTTGTTGTTGTTGTTGTTGTTTTTTGTGGTTCCACATAAATGTTTGGAGTATTTTCTAGTTCTGTGAAACATGCCATTGGTAGTTTGATAGGAATTGCATTGAATCTATAGATTGCTTTGCGTAGAATGGACATTTTAATAATGTTAATTCTCTCTATCCTTGAATACAGTACATGCTTTTATCTATTTGTATCTTCTTCAGTTTCTTTCTTTGGTGTGTTATAATTTTCCAAGTAGAGGTCTTTTACATCCTTGGTTAAATTTATTCCTTGGTATTTTATTTTAGTTTTTGATGCAGTTGTAAATGGGATTGTTTTATTAGTTTCCCACTCAGATAGTTTATTGTTGGTACATAAAAATGCAACTGATATCTGTATTTTGTGTCCTACTGCATTACTGAATTCATTTATCAGTTCCAGTAGTTTTTTCTTGGAGTTTTTAGGGTTTTCTATATACAGTATCATGTCATCTGCAAATAAGACAGTTTTACTTTGTCCTTTTTAATTTGGATGCTTTTTATTTCTTCTTGTCTGGTTGCTGTGTTTAGGACTTCCAGTATTATGTTGAATAAAGTGGTGAAAGTGGACACCTCTGTCTTGTTATCGAACTTAATGAAACACTATTAGTTTTTGCCCATTGAGTACGATATTGACTGTGTGTTTGTCTCCTATGGTCCTTTATTATGTTTAGGTGCAATCCCTCTATTCCCACTTTGCTGAGAGTTTTTATCATGAATATGTGCTGGATTTTATCAAATGTTTTTTCTGTATCTATTGATATGATCATGTGACTTTTATCCTTCATTTTGTTTATGTGATGTATCATGTTTGTTGATTTGCAGATAATTGTACCAACCTTGCATCCCTGGAATAAATCCCACTTGATCATGATGTATGATCTTTATAATGTATTGTTGGATCTGGTTTGATAATATTTGTTGAGGATTTTAGCATATATGTTCATCAGGGATATTGGTCTGTAATTTTCTTTCCTTGTAGTTTTTTTATCAGGCCTTGACAGAAGAACTTGGGCCTCTTCCCTCCTCTTGAATTTTTTGGAATAGTTTGAGAAGTATAGGTGTTTGTTCTTGTTTGGATGTTTAGTAAAAATCACCAGTGAAGCCGTTGGATCCAGGACTTTTGTTTGTTGGTAGTCATTAGTTGAAGTTGGTCTGTTCAGATTTTCTATTTTTGTCTTGATTCAGTTTTGGAAGATTGTATGTTTCTAGGAATTTAGGCATTTCTTCCAGATTGTCCAGTTTTTTGGCATTTAGGTATTAGTAATATTTTCTTAACAATCATTTGTATTTCTTTGGTGTCAGTTGTTACTTCTCCTTTTTCATTTCCAATTTTATTTATTTGAGTCCTCTCTTCCTTTATGAGTCTGGATAAAGGTTTATCACCCTTGCTAATCTTTTCAAAGTACCTACTATTGGTTTCATTGATCTTTTGTTTTGAGGTGTGTTTTTTTAGACTTTTTTTTTGTTTGTTTATTTCTTCTCTGATCTTTATCATTTCCTTTCTCTACCCATTTTGGGCTTTGTTTGTTGCTCTTTTTCTAGTACCTTTAAGTGTTAAAGTTATATTGTTTATTTGAGATTCTTCTTGCTTCTAGATAGTAGGCCTATAATGCTATGAACTTTCCTTTTAGGACTGCTCAATAGAGCAGCCCTATGCTGGGTCCAGTAGATTTTTGCTGGGTCCAATAGATTTTTGTTTTTTTGTGTTCTCATTTTCTTTTTTCTCAAGGTATATTTTGATTTTTTCCTTGATTTCATTTTTAACCCATTCATTGTTTAGTAAAATGTTATTTAGCCTCCAAGTGTTTGTGTGTGTTCAGTTTTTTTCTTATGAGTTCTAGTTTCTTCCCATTCTGGTCAGAGAAGATGTTTGATATGATTTCAGTGTGCTTAAATTTATTGAGGTTTGTTTTTTGTCTTAACATGTGACCCATCCTAGAAAATGTTCATGTGCACTTGGAAAGGATCTGTATTCTGCTGCTTTAGGTGAAATACTCTGAAGGTATCAATTGATAGCATCTCGTTAGTGTACCATTTAGGCTGCTGTTTTCTTGTTGATTTTCGTCTGGAAGATCTATCCATTGATGTCAACAGGGTGTTATAATCCCCACTATGACTGATACAGTCAGCCTCTCCATTTATATCCATCAGGATTTGCTTTATATATTTAGGTGCTCCTATGTTAGGCACATAAATGTTTATAAGGGTTATATCCTTTCGTTGGATTGATCCCTTTATCATTATGTAGTATCATTCTTTGTTTTTTATTTAGCCTTTGGTTTAAAGTCTATTTTATCTGATATACTACCCCATCTTATTTCATTTCCAATTGCATGAAATATTTTTTATATTCCTTGATTTATAATCTGTGTGTATCTTTCATACACCCTGAGGTGGATCTCTTGTAAACAGCATATATATGGGTATTGTGTTCTTATTCATTCAGCTACTCTATGCCTTTTTTAAAAATTCTTACCCGAGAGAGAGGAAGGGACAGAGGAAGAGAGAGATAAACATTGATGCAAGAGAGAAGCATTTGATTAGTTGTCTGGCATCCACATGCAGACTGGGGAGCATATGTGTCCAGACTAGGGGTTAAACCAGCAACTTAGGTATGTGCCCTGGCCAGGAATCAAACCTGCAACCCTTTGGTTACAGAACCATGCTCCAACCAGCTGACCCACACTAGCCAGGGCTACCCTTACCTTTTGATTGGAGCATTTAAGCCATTTACATTTAAAGTGATTATTGAATAAAGTGATTATTGATAGGTATATATTTATTGCCATTTATTTTATTCTTTATAACTGTAACCCTCTGTGGTTTCTTCTTCTTTTTCTTCTTAAAGAAGACCCTTTAACATTTCTTGTAATACTGCTTTGGTGGTAATGAACTCCTTTAGCTTTTTCTTGTCTCAGAAGCCCTTTATTTCTCCTTCATTTTTAAATGATAACCTTGCTGGGTAAAGTACTCTTGGTTGTGGAGATCCTTGTTTTTTATCACTTTAAATGTATTTGTGCCAGTCCCTTTGGCCTGAAATATTTCCGTTGAGAAATTTGCTGACAGTGTTATGGGAGCTCTCTTTGAGGCAACTAACCATCTTTCTCTTGCTGCTTTTTTTTGTGGAGTAGGGGCGTTGAGCTGGGTCCTTTAATGATGGTGCATGACAAAGTAGGGCTCTCTAAGCCTCTTCGCTTCTTCAGGGTGTCTAGGATGGAACTGTGGAAGTCAGGAGATTCTCAGTGTGCTGGCAGGTTGATACAGGGCAACCACTCTCCAGCAGCTGAAGTCATCTCCTCCTCTGCCTGTGGCTGGTGTTCCAGGGGCCTCTTACCCTTTGGAAGCCATGTGGACCATAAGGTCCACCACTGTGATGCTACAGCCAAATTCATTGTCATACCAGGAAATGAGCTTGACAAAGTGGTCATTGAGATCAGCCCCAGCCCCAGTGTTGAAGGTGGAGGAGTGGGTTTCACTTGTTAAAGTCACAGAAGGCAACCTGGTCCTCAGTATATTCAGTATATGCTTGAGTAGGGGCCCTCTGATGTCTGTTTCACTCCACCTTGATGTCATCATATTAGACAGTTTTTTCCAGGTGGCAGGTCATATCCAGAACTGACACATTGTGGGTGGGGCCATGGAAGGCCATACCAGTTAGCTTCATCTCTTGCTGCTTTTTAAGGTTCTCTCTTTGTCCTTAACCTTTGGCATTTGAATTATGATGTGTCTTGGTGTGGGCCTCTTTGGGTTCATCCCGTTTGGGACTCTGCCTGGACTTGTATGTTTTTTCTTTACCACATTAGGGAAGTTTTCAGCCATTATTTCTTCAAATAGGTTGTTGCTTGCTCTCTCTTCTTTTGGTACCACTGTTACACTTCATATTGTTCTAAAGGTCCTTTAAACTATCCTCATTTTGAATAGGTAGCTTTAATTTCAGAAACATTCCAAGATAATTAGTGTCCTTGCCTGTCTCTCCCTTGTTCCTGTTTATCTACCTACCTATTCATGTCTGTCTATCTAAATATGATTGCTAGTATATTAGATATATATTACATATATGTCATAAAATGTACTATTTTATATATCTAATTTTTCCATATACTATGATAAACATGTAAATATATTTTTATAACATGATATGTAATGTTAGAACTGGTAAACTACCGTCAAACTGAGGCATACTTCAACATGGTGGTTAAATACTAAGGGCAGTCTAGGCATCAGTTATAGACTGAGACCACAATATTCATGCATTGTGTGATCTCATTCATCATCGTGGCATTCTTTGAATGGCACACTATTCCTAGGAAGCATTTTATACCAAATAACAAGTAACTATGTAAGTGTTCTGATGTTTTCTTCTTAATTTTTTTCTAACATACAAGTTATTGAAGTTGATCTCAGTGAAGACCAAAGGGAACAAAATTTTTATTCAAATGTTTTCTGCTAGTTTTGGAAATTAATTTATTAAAGTATGACTATTTTCACTATGTAAATAGAATAACTATTTTCCTGTTATACCAAGAAGTTTTGGGACAAGAATATTTCATGCTTCGTCCTTTCTCTGACCTATATTATATTGCTAAAATTATAATCTACTTTAGATAGCAAAGTAATTTTACTTTACGCAGCTTTTAATTTGTAGTATTGTTTTGAGTAAACATGCAAATTGAATAGTTTTAAATATCAGAGGCAGGTTTATAAGAATTTTTGTAAAAAGAAATCATTTTTTTCTTTTGTACATTTATCTCTTTAGAAAGTTTGACTTTAATTTGCTACTTTTTCACTGCAACATGGTGGGGAGCATCTCTGTAGTGGTGAGAATCGGAAAGCCAAGGACATCCTGAATTCGTGTAACCTTATCTGTGGGAGAGCAGAGGATGTGTAGAGTGGTCTGTGTGAGAGTTCTTTCCCTAAGTGCCTCGTCTGGGGCTTTAAATTACCTCAAACACTCTCTGCCATATTGTTATTTTCTTAAAGCATTACGTACTTTGACCAGGCTAAGAAACTAGGTATTGCTATAGCCTGTCACTGATGGTTTAAAATTTCTCTCCAATATTACAGACCTCTTAGAGGTTATTAACACTTTTTATGTATAAAGGATCTTCCATTTGCTCCTTAGCTAAATTCTCATTTACAACAATGGAACTGGTAGCTCAGTTGACATTTAATATACATCTTTACTTTTTTTAGGGTACTTTACATTAGCAGACTACAGACTTGTCCTTTTTTTTTATTTTATTTTTCAGTTATGGTTTAAATTCATTATTATTTTGTTTTAGTGTCAGGTGTACAGCCTAGTGGTTAGACAGTCATAAACTTTATGTAGTATTCCCCCCAAGATTTCTAGAACCCACCTGATACCATGCATAGCTATCATAATATTATTGATTATATTCTCAATGCTGTACTTGACATCTCTGTGGCTGTTTTGTGATTACCAACTTTTACTTCTTAATCCCTTAAACTTTTTCACCCAGCCCCCCAACCCCTGTCCCCTCTGGTGCAAACTTTTTTATAAAAGACTGGATAGTAAATATTTAGTCCAACCCTAAGTTGGGTCATATGGCATTACATAAGTGGATGGGCCTGGCTGCTAAAACGTTATATAATAAAACAGGTAGAGGCCTGAAGCAGCAGATTGCCAACTGCTGTTTTGCATAGTCTTGGATACCTGGAAGCCACAGTCAGTCCAAGGATGGTAGAAAGAAGCCAGAAGGAACCATTTAGGCAGTAGAAACTTCTTAATTAGTTTTTTCACTTTTTTCCCCCCAACAGAAGTTGAGCAGCTATCCTATGGCAGGACTTTTCTCAAGGCACTGGGGTTAAACTGGAGACTAAGCAGACAGGGATTCTTTCTCATGAAATCTTAATTTTCTGCTAGTGTACATCTTATGTTTATCACCCTGGCATGAGAAAGAAGTGGTTGGGTTTTATGCATTTTCCTAAAAGAAGATATATAGAAAACACTTTAAAAATCCAACCTAAAAGTTGTTTACCTAAAAGAAGACACCTCTGTGACTCTTTAAATTAGTGTTTCTTGGCCTTGACTCTATGTTAGGATCACCTGGGAAGATTTTAAAAACTTCCCTCATTTCCTAAACCAATTAAATCAGAATATTTGTGGGTTGGACCCAGGCATTCATGGTTTTTGTTTCCCAGGAAATTTCACTCTGCAGCCAGAGTTGAGAACCATGCTTTTAATGAAGTGGGTTTCATGTGGTGAAAATCTTAAATCCAAAATAGTAGAAAACCTTTACCTAGTTGCATATTTTCTAGAAACAAGTCAGTATTTAATTTTATGTAATGTAACATTTTTCATTAAGAGAACACATCTTATTTAAATTTCAATTTTAAATGAGCTCTTGTGCATTGTTATTTTAAATTATGTTTACTTTCTGCTCTTAAATTAGTATGTTGAATTTTATTTATACTTATTTTATTTAATAATACTTCATTGTCACTTTTAGGATACTGCTGGTCAAGAGAGGTTCAGAACATTAACTCCCAGTTATTATAGAGGTGCACAGGGTGTTATATTAGGTAAGTTTTTACTTTAATATACTGTTTATTATCATTTATTATTACTGTTTAATATACTGTTAGAATATTATTGTTTATTACTGCAATTTCTGATTTTTCTTATCTGTAAAGGTCAATACATTTTTGTTTTATTTTTCTATAAATCTACTTGTATGTAACTTGAAGTTGTATTAACTTTAATATTAATGAATATTGAAACTTTAAAAATTTATTTTCAACCTCTTTTCTAGCAATTAAAAAATAAAAATCAAACAAATTTATTTCATTTAAAAGCACATATTGAAAAGGAAATAATTGGGGATTAGTCCACATATAATTGGTCTTAGAGTATTACCAGAAACTGATTTTTAGTTAGCAGCATTTTATCAGTCCTAAAAATATAGCACAAAGCACTTAACACAGAATTTTTAAAGACAAAATGTGGGTTCTCAATTGAAAAGTGCTTGTCCTTTTTTTGGTCTTACATTCTTTTGTTTATTATATATATGCAGATCTGTTTTATGTACAATACTTGGTTCTATCAAATAATCATACCAAGGCATCCCATTGGTAATCCTCCTTGAAATAGATCTTTGTGCACTTCATGCACAGTCAAAACTTGAGACTTCATTACTGATTTCAGTCTTGAGGCCATACATACAACTCACAATATACACAGATTGGGTTAAGGTGATAAAAGTGGGCTGAAAGAAACCATAGGATTCAGAACAATTAAACCGTGTATTTTGCTTGCATTAGAGCCGCAATGTGAACAGCAAATGGTGTGGGTATTTCCTAGCTCTTCCACTGCAGTGTGGGAAGGGCTTTTGAAATCTCCAGTGACTGCATGGGGTGACTGCACCGCAAGTGGGCAAGTCCATGATTGTCCTGCTGGAAGCTTCCCCAAGGGCTCATTTCTTTTCCACCTCCCCTTTCTTGGGTTCTTATTTCAGTTTGTAAATTAGCCAGGGATGCCTTGATGGCGTCTTCAGTCAGCAAGGAGCAGTGCAGTTTCACAGGGGAAGAAGGCAGAGTTCCTTGGTCATATCTGTGTTTTTGATGGTCAAGGCTTCCTCCACTCTCTGCCCTTTCAGCTGTTCTCCAGGACCTGGAGGCAATTGTAGAACCACAGCCAAATTATTTAAACCTGGCATTCACAATCTTCCCCTTTTAATCCACCTGAATCTGTAATTTCCTGACATCACCACGTGCTGGAGCCCCCACAGATCTACTTCCAGCATTTTTAGATGTGTTGTCAAGAGACCCCCCTCATTTCTGGAACTTTCATAATGGTCGGCAGCCTCCAGAGCTGACAGCTGCTGCCTAGAGCAGCAGGGCCTACCCCGTGCACCTCACATAACGCCCTGGCTGCTGCCGCAGAAAAGTGTGTGTTCTTAGTGCTCCTGAGAAAGGGTTTAAAATTAGTATTGATCATTTGTAGGGAAAATTCTTTTATATTGTGATTTGTGAGGCTTTGGTTATATTTCTTTTAACAGTGAGTCGTATTGTTTTGGTTTTAGCATTTCCTAAGCTTAGAAAATACTGTAAATTAAGAAACTTCTTTAGTATAGTGCAAAATAATGTAAAAGTGATTAACAGAGGAAAACAGGATTCCATCTTCTAACTTTACATCCTGGTTGTGTAAGAACAAATTAGTAGGGTCATAGATGTTTAAATTCATGTAAAATTTTTGGTATTTTGTCATAGAGTTGAACCTAAACACGTGGTTTTTGGATAAACTTCATTTTTTGTTGTTATGAATGGGGATGGGGGCAGCTGTTTTGCTTAAATTAGTTTTCCGTAATCACACAGGATATAATTTCATTCCTCTTACAGTGTGTGTTAATAAAATTGAAATGTGTGTATATATTTTGTATTTTAAAAATTCCTTTGTTCCTGCCATCTAGATCAGTAGACATTAAAGATTAAGCATTGAAGGCTTAAAAATAGACCTACCTATATAGTAATGTTGGCTCCTATTTACATATCAGAAATATGTCATTGCTACTTATTTTTATGCTTATTTAATAAATACTTTTTTTCAGTTTATGATGTCACAAGAAGAGACACCTTTGTTAAACTGGATAATTGGTTAAATGAATTGGAAACATACTGCACAAGAAATGACATAGTAAACATGCTAGTTGGAAATAAAATTGATAAGGTAAGAAGCTAGAGACTTGGCATTTGGCTCTATGTTTTGGTAGCTTTTCTTAGTCTTTGCATCTGTCTTTCAGGAAAATCGTGAAGTTGATAGAAATGAAGGCCTGAAATTTGCACGAAAGCATTCCATGTTATTTATAGGTAGGTGTGTGAATCCTTTCATTATTAATGAGGAATTTAAAACTAAAATTTCTGTTAATTTTTCTCTTTACAAATTATACATGATATATATTTAGCTCACAGTTATCTCACAGTATAAAATGTAACTATAGAATCAGGTTCCTTATTTTTCCTTCTGTAAGAAAAAATAGGATCCATTATATGAAGTCAAACGGAGTCATTCCCGTCAGGGTGTAATGCCACTCAATAAAGCCAGGCTCCCAGTGCTAAAGTCGCACCACCTGGGAACTTGCTAGAAATGCTTTATCTCAAGCTGTAACCAGGTTTTCTGAATTAGAATCTTCATTTTAAAAAGTCTTCATGTGATTTGTATGCACACTAATATTTCAGAAGTGTGGTGGAACAGGGTTGGCAAACTACAGCAGAGGCCAGATCTGGCCCCATCATTTCTGTGGAACACAGCCATATCCAGTTACCTACATGTCATCCGTGGCTGCCTCAGGGTTCATGGCAGAGCTCAGTTATAACAGAAACTATACGGCCTACAAAGCCTAACATGTTTCCAATCTGGCCCTTTACAAAAACAGTTTCCTGACCCCTCATCTAGAAAAGTGGGCTGCCTTTTAAAAGTACAGATCCCTGGGACTTATCACAGGTCTGAAAGAGGACCTAGGAGGCAGTATATAAAAACCACCCTAGTTGATTCTTGAAGCTAGATATAGGAATTACTGATTTACCTATTTCAGTGTTAGAATTGACTAGGAATCCAGAAATGGATATAGGAGAACATCGTGTATAGGCAGAAGCAGGGTGGCACAAGTGGGAGGTGTAGGGAGTTAGAAAGGAACTGTACTCTACCTTCTACTGCTTACTTACTGGGTATCCTTTTGTTATAATATTTGCTAGTTTACTCAATAAATATTGATTGAACATTGAGGATATAATAGTGAATTAGAATGAACAAACTCCCTGCCCTTATGGAGCTTACGTTCAAGTATGAGAAACAGTTAAATAAGTAAGTAATGCTATGAAGAAGTAAAGCATTGTAAGGGGACAGAGAATGACTGATGCAGGGACTGATTAGGGAAAGTTCTTCAAGGCGATGCAGTTTGAGCAGGGATCACTCCTATGAAGACCTAGGGGGAAAGCATCTCAGGCTGAGAGGATAGCAAATATTTCCTGACTTTGGAACCAATTTAGTGTATTTAAGAAAAAGGAAGAAAGCTTGTGAGCTGGAGCAATGTGTGTTGGGGGGAAGGGTGGTAATAATGGGAGGTAAGGTTTAAAAAAGGTCACGCTGGACCTCACAGGAAATGGTAAAGAAATAGATTTCATTCTAAGTGTGGTAGAAAGCAAGGGAATAGTGCTGTGATCTCATATTCTTTAAAAAAAAGTGGGGGGAAAGGGGCCCATTTGTGTTGAAAATGGACCATGAGAAGCAGAAACAAGTGGCTGGTTATTCTCTTATAATAGCCCAGATGACCGAAGCTGGTGGCTTTGACTGCAGGTGGCAGTGGTGAGTGGTGGAAAGTTGGCAGGTCTGGGAGATGCTTTGATGGTACAGCTGACAGCCAGTGAGAGTTGGGGGAAATTCACTAATTTTAAACGTATGGGGGGAATTTGTTGATTTGTATTTAAGAAAAAATTTATTTATGCCATGATAGTTTCACAGGAAAATGTAGGGGTGTGACTGGAAAGGAATGTACTGTAACATCTTTCCTTGAATTTCAGAGGCAAGTGCAAAAACCTGTGATGGTGTACAGTGTGCCTTTGAGGAACTTGTTGAAAAGATCATTCAGACGCCTGGACTGTGGGAAAGTGAGAACCAGAATAAAGGAGTCAAACTGTCACACAGGGAAGAAGGCCACGGAGGAGGAGCCTGCGGAGGTTATTGTTCTGTGTTATAAACTCTGGGAAATGCCATCTCTTGCATATTTGATCAGATAGTGACATCTTTCTGTATATAAACTCTAACTGCTATTTTAGGGACCTTGCAGTTTGCACATATTTGTTTTGTATCATGGCAGTAAATATTTACAAGAAATCCCACTCATTGGCTTTCCCAGGTAAAATGTTATGGTAAGCATGCACAGTTTGCAGTCTACAGTTTTTTATGCAACATAAAACTGGTGTACCTTTATAAGTACACTTGATTTTATGATTTACATTTATCATGTGATTTTTAAAAATCCACCTATAATATGTTGAGAACAAAGTCTACTTTTGGTCTTCTTTTTGCCTAAATACTCCTATCAATTACTGAATTAATTGATATGTAGAATTTCTAGAACCACTGGGAGATTACAGTATCATCCAATCTGGTGAATTTCTTCAGGAATGAAAAAGAGCATGATTCCACAGCTTTCCTAAGATGTCTGTTGACAGATTTCTCTTTTAGAACTAAGCAAAGTTCTTTTTACAGGGTGCAATCCAGGCCAATTTATAATTAAATCTCTGTTCTAATGATGCTTCTAAAATAGCATTGATGTGTTAAAGAAGTTTGGTCTTTTTAATTTACTTCAATGAGTAGCTCAGTTGCTTAACTGGAGTTTTAATTCTGTGATATGTGTACATTGGATTCACAACCCTTTGTGTAGGATTTTTAGTTATATGATGTTTGGCAGAGTGGCAATAAGGTTTTCCCTTACTCTGGTTTCAGAAGGATATGAATAGTGTGTTTATGTAGCTCATGTTAGTACTTAACACTTTTTAAACCAACACGTTTTGCTGTAAATGTTGGTGGTGTTTGTCCAGTTACCTCCATTGTAGCTTGTGTGATATTTATGATAGCTGTGTCTGTGACTTCCATAAATCACTTGTTGATACTCAGAACCTATGCCTGTGTTTTGAGGGTTGGGGGAAAAACACTAAATGACAATTTGCTTCCAGATTTTGATGTGTATGGGAAAATACTGTTGCAACAAAAATCTTGGTAATTTATTGTAACAAGTAGTCAATATTTTATTAAAACCAACTTGTACAGACTAGTAAATCTTTGCCACAGTATTCAGGTTTCTAACTTCTAGCTCTTGTACATTATATATATATATTTTAGTCATATGTTATTTAATTCACATTGACGTCTGCTATTTAAGCCCCCAAATAAGTAATTTATCTTTTCAGGCAAGTCACTATAATACAGAAATAATACAAGTTCCTGGGCACTTTGTTGCCTGTATGCAGATACAAAGAATAAGCATTTTTGTGGGTCACCTTTATAATACATGTGATAATGGATTTACTTTAAGTTGGATTCTTTCTAAAATGTCATCTTCACATAAGAAAACCTTACATTCTACTTAGTTCACAGTTGTAGACCTCATTACGTGTGATTAAGGGTTTTATACAGTATGTATGTTTTTACCAAGTTTAAAAACATTTACTGCTTTAATGTTGAAAATAGCCAACACATGTACTTCTGATTTGTTCATGTTACGTTAAAACTATAGATTTGTATATTCATGTAGTGTCAATATTGACAACATGTTTCTGTTTGTTGCTTTTTGCTTCTTGAGCGATACAACCTTTCTGTACATTGGATTATTGCCTTGGTCAGAATTTGGATACATACGAGTCACTTAACTTCTAAAAACTAATTTTGTTTGATTTACATTGTAATCTTTTATAGTTTTGAATAAATATAGCCTGCTTTCCCTAGACATATTTGTGCAGGAAGTATTATACATTTCCCTATTGCTTTCATTAGCTGAGAAACTTCTGAATATAATGTCATTCAAGTTCTGTTGTATTCTGTGGCTTCCACTTTACTACTTTGTTGCAAGCTTATTGTTTCACAGTGGAGATTTTCTAAATGAAGTGTTATAGTATCTACAATTATTAGCCACAGGAAGGACTTTGTTAGTTTTTCTTTTCCAATCACTTGAAGTCATTTTAAAGTACTTTTTGCAGATGGTGCAGATTAGAACAGTTAGGATACAGTGTTTGTGTTCTAGGAGTACTGACATAGACTGAAACAAATAGCTATTCAAATTATATTAAGAGTAATAGCATTTATTGAAAGTTTTCTTGCTGTGTGGCGCTAGATTATCTCATGAAAGCTCACAGCAATGGGAAGAGACTGGGTGGTACTATTATTATGCCCATTTTAAAGATGAGGATGATGAAACACAGGTGTATTGGGTCAGTGCCCAAGCTCAAACAGCTGATCAGTTATGGAGCTGGATTTCAGTCACAGCCTCTTCACTGCTGAGTCCATGCTCTTTAACCACCGCTCCCTCTGCTCTGACTAGGTACCAGCTCGCTGTCATTAACACAGTAGAGTTGAGAGAGTTCCCTATTATTGTTCTTTTTCAGATAGTTTGGTTCTAGAGTAAATCCCTTTGATATAAGCCAGCCATGTAAGTCGTTTAACCAGAAAGTTAAGGTAGAAGAAGACGTTGTGTCTTAGTTTTTTTATCTTCTCAGACTGGAATGAAAATCCCTGACTTCAAATAGTACAAAGTCAGGGGACTTATGGCCTTAACTTTCTATTTGTAATTGGATTCGAGAAAAATTAAACCTAGGAACAGCCTTTAGTTTAAATTAGAAATCTGGGGGTATTTTCATTTCAAGTGCTTAATTGTCATCAACAAATTCACCTTGGTGTTGACTTTCAAGTTGTGGTCAGTGAAATTGGACTTCATTTTGATGCATACTTAAGAAATATACATGATTGTGTACAAAGTGTGGGGCTGGCCCCAGAGCTCATAAGAGCATCCTTCTTATGCTGCTACTGATTCTACTTGTGGGGTGGCACAGACCTACCTCCTCGCCATAGCATCTTTAAATACAGTTTAGTGTATATTTTTTTCTAATTTTCAAGTGAACTGGAGTAATTGTGTAGGTAGATCTAGATGGTAAGTCTTCTCTGTATTCAGGTATTATGCTTCTATGTCTAGGGGTATATTTCAACTTAGGAAGTTTTTTTGTCCTTCATGTATTTTTTCCTAGTTGGATATGGGGTAAAACATTTAATCAGTTTTCAGAAGACATTTTACTAGTTCTGACCCCAGCTATGCCAACATTAATTAACTACAGACTTCATCCTGGGTTTTGTCCAGGAATGTTGAAAGAAGAGAATAGCAAGAAATAGGCCAAGTCAAGACTTGGAGCTAAGGAATATAGATTTACCCAGGAATCTCTGATTTTTTTTTTTCCAAAATGGAAACATCTATCAGGTTGGAGGAGGGAAAAAGGTAGTCATCTTCTGTGACATTGTGGGGTTTTAAATTTTACTATTTGTTGCTTTTTGTTTTATATTTAGCAACCAGTAATGTTTCTAATCTGGGTATAAAACTTGCTTAAGTGCCTTTTCGTTAAAACTGTACACAAGCACCATTCCAGTAGAAGTGTAAGGTCTTCTTCTCAATCCTGCCTCCTCCCCACCTCTCTCACATACACAAACAATATTTCTGTTTTTGTTAACCTGATAAGCAACACATTATGTAATTCTGTTTGTATTTCCTTGAATACTAATGAGATTGAGCACTTTTCATATTTTATTGGGTAAGTTTCTTGTTCATGCGTGCTGTGGTTGCCCATTCAGCACCCACTTCCTTCTCTCACAAGACCACCCGCTTTTTCTTTGGGTAACTCTCTCCCCATTATCAGGCAAGTGGTTTGGATGGGATTGTCATGCCTCCAGCTTTAGAGTGAGCCCAGTTACTTTTAACAGTGCCACAGTGAATGGTTCAGGGATAGGCTGGAGACGTCAAGCTACTTGGAGACTAGGTGTTTGCTGAGGCTTCCTCAGGAACTGCTGGTGAAGACATGTGCTTGGAACTGTGATGTGAGGCTTTACATCTGACCTTGACACGGCCCAGTTTTCTAACACAAAGGAGCCATCCTGAGGGCAGTACCAAGAAAAAGAGAGGGACTCGAGCATGGAGCCCTGAAACAATCTGGAACCTCCATCAAATTGGAACCGAAGGCAAATTATTTGTAGACTTTTCACTTATGAGAGCCAATAAATTCCTTTTTTGTTTAAGCCATTTTGAGTTGGATTTTCCTTTTTCTCATAACTAAATGTATGCTGTGTGAGTGTACATATAGTGGCTATGGTACATACGAAGGTACATATGTATTTACCACATACGAAGTGGTACATACGAAGGTACAGCAGGTTCAATATGGGATGACTATCACTTGAAAAGTTACTACTCTTAAATAACTTAGTATTTTAGTGAGTTTACTTATATTTCTGTGTGGATATATACATGTAAATGAGATAACTTCAGCCGTGCCTGGTGTGGCTCAGTGGATTGAGCACTGGCATGTGAACTGAAGGTCACTGGTTTGATTCCCAGTCAGGGCACATGCCTGGGCTGCAGCCAGGTCCCTGGTTGGCGATGTGCACGAGGCAGCCTATTGATGTTTCTCTCACATATCTGTGTTTCTCTCTTTTCCCCTCTCTCTGAAAATAAGTAAAATAAAAACAAATTAAAAAGTAAATGAGTTAACTTCATACATGAGATTTTAAAGACCCCTATATTAGGACCAGAGGATGGTCTTTCCTAATAAGGTCCAATATTTTGGAAGGTCCATACACCAAGGCAAGCAAGTTGGAAAGATGGGCAGTGTTGGAAAGATTCTTGACAGATTTTGGGAGTGGAAGAGGTGCTTATGTAGGTGCCTGAGGTGGAGTGGAAGAAAAGGTAGTTGGAAGTGAGGATGCCAAATTGTTAGATGGATCATGGATGTTTCTTCAATCAATAGATAACACAGTTGAATTATTCCTAGATTCTGTTCTGTTCTACCAATGCAGTCTGCCAAAATCATAACCATTTTGGTTTTATGGTGTATTTGTAAATCAAGTTCTTTCGAAATAAAGTACTAATTTTGTAACAACTTATTTTGGCAGTCATTTTATCCACTTACAAAATAAAGCTTTTTGGAATTGTGACAGAAGCTATATAAATTTATATAGTATTAGATTATAAACAGACATTTTAAAAAGTCTTCCCATCCAGAAACATGGCTTATCCTTCCATTTATTCAGTTCTTATTTCATGTCCTTCAATAAAATTATAGACTCTCTTCATAATATACCTTTTAGTTATAATTGTTCATGTATTCCTGGGCATTTTATTATTTTTGTTACTGTGGTGTATCAAGGTTTTAAAAACTTTGCTATTTATCTTTTTCTGTTGCAGAGAAAAATTAGTTACATATTTTTATTAACAGCATCTTACCAAATTATTAGTGCTAATATCTTTTTAGTGTTTCTTATTTTCTAGGTTCAAAGTAATATCTCTGAGTAAAGGTAATTTTGTCTGATCTGAGTTACAACAGTAGTTTTTGTATTTTGTATTTTCTAATGTACTATTTTTTTAACTTTAAGAAGTAGTCTTTAATATTTTAGAAAAGTTTTATCTTCATTCTTTCAATATTTGACTTCAATCTTCAAGTGTAAGCTGATTTTTTTCTGGGGTTTTTTTGCCATGTATTAATATAACCAAATGGTTTTGCTGCTTGGTTTATTAATGTAATGAATTACATTGAAGATTTCCCATTGCAAAACTATTCTTACATTCTTAGAATATATCTTGTCTAAAGTGTATTTTTTTTTCCAATTACAATGTATATTCAGTATTTGTATTTGTTTCAGGTGTACAGCACAGTGGTTAAACAATCACATATATTACAAAGTGTTCTGCTTGTTATTTCCTGTACACAACTTGGCACCACACATAGTTATTACAATGTTATGACTATACAGTGGTTCTTGAACTTCATTCATTCTGGAAAGCTGTTTGGGAAGTGGTTTGTTCAAAAACTGAATCATTTTTTTCCCATTCGAAATAATGTAAATTGAATTATTCCATTCCAGACTCCCAAATGATTCTGTTTAAACCTTTCTTTTTCACATGTCTAATGCACTGCTAAATCCATAAACACTCTAAAAACAAAAAGAACATGAAATGTAAGTGAAAATTTAACAGAAAGGAAATGAAATGCACAATAAAAAAAGAAAATTTACATACACACTTGAACTTACCTTTAGTGCTGAGAGCTGCCGATGACTGCAGATGGAGAGGAGGGAGGAAGGATGATGTGGTTTGGAAGGGGAGCCCCTTTCATAAAAACATCAGGTCGCTGTTCCTCTGGGGCTCTTCCTCTCTCCTGTCGTTTTCCTCCACTAGACCTTGCCTCGGGCTCACTCGGCCTGTGTCTCGCTGAAAACCTATCCAGTGATGTTTGTGCCTGAGTTTTATCGCTTGCTTCAAGTGAAACACTGTGTCATCACTGGACAAGTGTGTTCCACGGTCTGCTACTTCTTTGTCAAGGTGATATTTCTCACTAAAACTTCACATTTTCCCCATTTCCCAAGCATTTCCTTGATAGTGAAGTAGGAATATCCCCCCTTTCCTCCGCCTCCGAAGAAGGCTCCCCAGCTGCCGTCTGTTGCTGCCCCCTCTGAAGGTCTTGGAGTTCCTCGGTGGTCAGCTCAGTGTGGGGTCCTCCACCAACGCCTCCCCGCCGTCACCATCCGCCTCTGGGCCCATGGACTTGCCCAGGGACCCAGCGTCCTCCACAGCAGGCACAGGCTCATCTTCAAAGCCCCCGAGTCTCAGCGACAGACTCAGGCCACAGCTTCTTCCAGGCTGAATTTGTGGTCCTGGAAGACGCTTCCCCCCATGCTTTGTGCGCCTCAAGCGCAGGAGGATAGTAAAATGTTCCTTCCGGAACTCCCTGAGGGTTAAAATTGCTTTCAGAGATCACCTCAAAACACCTCTCCAACAGTACATTTGTGTAGTTTCTTAAAATTAGAAATGGCCTGCTGGTGCAGGGGCTGGCTGAGAGGAGTTGTGTTAAGGGGCAAAAACTGAACAGTGATGAGGCTCCACTCCTCCACCAACTGGGCCTCCAGGGCTGCAGGGTGGGCACGAGCATCGTCCACTTACAAGAAGAGCCCTGAATAGGAATTGTTTTTCCTGGAAGTATTTCTTCACACTCGGGGCAAACATTTCCTGAATCCACTCAATAAAAATTGGTTACTCAAGCTTTACTGTTAGCCCCCTACATCACATTCAACTTGTTGGTTTTAATAATAGCTTCCATTTACTTTTTAAAAAGAGTTTTATTTTCAGAGTGAGGAAGTGAGGGAGAAGGAGAGGGAGGAAACATTTATCTCATACTCCCAACAGGGGACCTAGCCTGCACCCCAGGCATGTGCCCTGACCAGGAATCAAACCTGCAACCTTTTGGTTCACAGATGGGTGCTAAATACACAGTACACCAGCTAGGGCTCAACTTGCTTTTTATGACATCATTTTTTTCTGAAAACTCTTGGGTTTTCAGAATGGTAGACAACTATAGGCTTCAATTTAAAGTTCTCACTTGCATTCCCACTCAATTATGTCACCCTGTCCTTCATTGGCTTGTGTCCTGGTAGTAACTGCTCTTCCTGTGTTATCTAAGTTTTCTTTGGCATTTTCCTCCAAGAGACACCTGTCTCATCACAATTGAACGCCTGTTAGGGGAGAAAATCCCTCGGCCTCTGCATACTGAAATTCTGTCACAAAATTAGCAGCTGCTTTGTTAGAATTGGCAGCCACCCCACGCCTCACTACACTATGAATGCCACTTCTTAAGTTTAGTAAACCAGCCCCTGCGAGCCTTAACTGAGTCACTTTCAGCACTCGTTCCAGGCGTGTCTGTCTGTCAGGAGGTCAGTGTGCAGCGTCTTCGCCTTTTCACGTATTGCCTCCAAGATGCTACCACCAGCCATCCGCTTTTTTATCTAAATCAACAATTTTTCTACCTCTTCAGTGGCCTGTGGTCATTGTTTTGTGAGCACTCCCACACTCTTACAAACATCAGCACTACTGATGGCTTCTTTATATTAGAAAATTTTGCTGTTAGTCAATTTCACCATTCCATACTCCAGGCAGATCAACAGGTGAACGCCTCAATCATACTTGCAATTATTTAAGCTCTATTTTTGTTCTCACAACTTTTCTTTTTTCTGCTGTCACTAACCTCCTTAGGAATCATGATGACTTTCTATACATATTTCATAATAAGTAACAACAAAAGCAAAAAAAATATGTACACCACAGTTTCCTGAGATGTTAACAATGCACGGTTTGGCGATAAGCTGACTTATATTCAAGCATTCTGTCCATTGTCACCTGAGAGACATGTGACTGATTATAACAGGTATCAGCATGTAAGGGTTGTGGGATGGAGAACCAAAGTTTAGTTCAACAATCGAGATGTTTTTTCCATGGACAACTTGGTCAGGAATAGAGTTGTTCAAGATGGGAGACGTTGGAGAACTGAGGTTTGACTGTCTCCTAAGCTATAATTTACATCCCCGTGACTGTTTTTGTAAATACCTATCTGTAGTTCTCAGCCCCTTTGGCCTTTTCACCCAGTCGCCCAACCCCCACCCCTGCCCCTCTCAATAATCAGTCTGTTCTGTTCCCCATATCTACGAATCAGTTTCTGTTTTGTTTCCTCATTTATATTATTTTTAGATTCCACATACAAGTGAAATCATATGATATTTGTCTTTCTCTGACTTATTTCACTTAACCACAATACCCTCTAGGTCCTTCCATATGTTGTCATAAAGGGTAAGATTTCATTCTTTTTTATGAGAGTAACATCCCATTGTGTAAATGTACCACAGCGTTTTTATCCACTTGTCTATTGAGTAGCACTTGGGTTGCTTCCATAGTTTGGGTATTGTAAATAATTCTGCGATGAACATAGGGGTGCATATACTTTTTTCCAGTTAGAATTCTGGGTTTCTTTGGCTATATACCCAGATGTAGAATCACTGGGTCTTAAGGCAGTTCCACTTTTAGTTTTTTTGAGGGACCACCATAATGTTTTCTGTAGTGGCAGCACCAATCTGAACTCACACCAACAGTGCAAAAGTGTTGCCTTTTCTCCACATGCTCACCAGCACTTGTGGTTTATTGATGACACTATTCTGACACTTGTAATGTGTTATCTCATTGTAATTTTAATTTGCATTTCT